AGTGTGCCGCTCCGCACCGGCCTCTGCAAGTCCCCGGACCCGCTCGTCCCGCCCGCCTAGCCCAACCACCATCCACTCTGTGGGTTCCAGCGCCAAGCCATTCATCTCATCCATGAAAACCGGGAGAACGAAGGCTTATGCATCTTGCATATATGAATGGCTCTAGTCCGGTGCCGGTGGCAGCCTTTTCACCCGATGCCGAGAAGGCTTTTGACTGGGTTGAGTGGAGGTTCCTTATGTTATCTCTTTCAAAATCCAGATTTGGTCCTGGCTTTTGTAATTGGATGAAGGTACTCTACAGCAACCCTATTGAACCTATTCTCACAAATGCCTCTCTAAAAGGACTAGACAGGGTTGTGCTCTCTCTCCATTGCTCTTCACTATGGTTTTAGAACCACTGACTGTAGCAGTCAGAGCCAATGTAAGAATTAAAGGTGTGCATGCAGGGGGCAGGGAGCATAAGCTATTTATGTATGCAGACGGTATCTTAGCAATGGTAGCTGATCCTGTGTACTCTCCGCTGGTGCTACTTGAATATTCCAAGTCATATTGAAGTCATATTCCAAATGATCAGATTATAAGACAAATTGGCACAAATCAGAGAGTATGCCTATATCCAATACATGTAATTCTGGAGATATGGTAAATGGACTGTACTTGTAGAGCGCCTTTCTAGTCTGCTGACCACTCAAAGTGCTTTTACACCATATGCCTCATTCGCCCTTTCATACACATTCACGGCCCATCGAACAGAAACTACCTCATTCATTAACATTCACACACACCAATGACGCAGCCATCGGGTTCAGCATCTTAAAACCGATGGATGAACCTAATACTTCGACATGCAGCAGTTTCAAATGGATGCCTTCAGGTATGAAATATCTGGGTATTCAACTATATATTCAACAAATTTGGATGAAATAATGCTCTCACATATGTAAAATACTCAAAATACTCCTCCAGAAAATAAAAATGAACCTGGATAAATGGGGAAAATTGAAGCTCACACTGTGGGGAAAAATTAATGTGTTTAACATGGTGGTTGACCCACAATTTAATTATGTTTCCATAATGTTGCCTTTTAATATACCACTGAAGTTGTTTAAACATTATGATAGAATTATCAAAGACTTTTTATGGGATAAAAAGAGACCAAGGATTAATATTAAGAAAATGTGGTCACCGAGCGATGTAGGAGGTATGGGTCTACCCAGTGTAAGGTTATACAATCCATCATTTGAAATGTCTAGATTTGAAGGGAACAGACCTGGAGCTGAGCTGGAATAAAATTTAACAGGAGCCCTTTCAAACCTTTGGATGCTCTCTCACATGGTTCAACTACTAATTGACATGATCACTTTCCAAACCCAGTACTGGTTCATTCTAAGTAAGTTTGGAGAGAAGTGCACAGGAAGTGTGGTGTTTTGCACTTAAGACAATCATATGCATCTCTCTGGCATAACCCAATCATATGTATTGGGAAGAAGTCTGTTTACTGGATTAAATGGCTTATGAAAGGGATATGCACGATAAGTGACTTGTGTTTATATCTTTTTCTGACCATGTGCAAAAATATAGTTTGGAGAGTAAAGGTACATTTTGGAAGTACTTTCAAATAAGGGTGTCCCTAAGTGCCAATTCACTCAGGGCAAGAATGTGGTGAGGGAGTATTTGGAGTTGCATTGTATACTACACAGGGCAACTTTGTTGTTTAAAAACAGTTTGCAAGATGATATCTGTAACAATCTGAGCATCATTTGGCAAAGGGACCTAGGATGTGATTTCAGTGATGAGGAACGGTTAAAAATAATATGAAATACTGAGAAATATGTAAGAGTGGCTAGTGGAATTCATTCAGTTCAAGTTAATACATAGGGTTTTTTTTAAACTCCATCAAACAGATATGCCCTATCTATCAAAATATAACATTACAGTGATAAACGTTGGGGTGGTCACGATCCTTGGCTTATGGAAAATGAAATCCTGTTATATAAATTGATAGATATAATGGTAGAAAAAAATCATATGAACATGTTAGCTAAAGTTAATTACGATTGGATGGGACGATGGTAATTTTAAGAGGGCATGGGACAGCTTTTTTGCCTATGCCACTTCTGGGATGCTGTAATGATTTGGTTGTTCCTTTATAACTGCTAGATGTCTATTTTGGTTGTCCTCTATGTCATTAATTTATCACAGGCCTTTGTACAGCTTGTAACTACATGTACTGTCTGTTTATGTACGTATACTTGAATAAAAACTTGAATGACAAAAAAAAATAATCTTCACAGAGTTATTAGTTCTAAGTTACCTTGCCAGCTTTTTGTAGTTTTGCCTTTCATCCTGTCTGAACAGGGTCAAGAACGCCTTCTTCACATTTTGGATTTTGTGTTTTTTTCACAGTGTTACACATACTCCTTATTCACATACGCACACACCTGTAAGATGGGAGGAAGACTCCCAGATGGAGGGTCAACATGGCATTATGATGCCGTGGAATTTCTTCACAGTTGAGCAACAGAAGGCCGACTGCTGCAGCAGGATTTAAATTTAGACTTTTCGCCTGGCAGCACTTGACTCCCGCCTCCATTTCCCTCCACTTCTCTTTATGTTTTCTCTGGATAGCTCCCTTTTCTGGATGTGTATAGTGCACATTGTCACTTTCCTCCCCCATAAAGTCCTACTCCTGCTCCTGCTGCTATTTTGTACTACTAAAGAGTTCAGTTGGTATATCTTGGCAGGTGTATAGTCAGCACCTCACAGCAAGGATGTCCTGGGTTTGAATCTAGCCCTTGAGCTTTTGTTTTCTCCAAGGGCTTTCCACTGATTATTCTGTTGGTGTTCTCCCACACCAAAAGCCTTGCAGGTCCATGTGACGTAAATTTTGTCATGTGCCCATGTCTGCAGGGGTTCACCCGGATATCTTGCCAGATGCCTGTGTGCTGCCAAAATGTAGGACCACAGGGACTATACTGCAGACTGTGCTTGCTGAATGGACATGTGTAAACACATCCGCCTATGCACGCACCCAATCTAGTATGAATAAACAATGTCCATTGTCCACCCTACTGTCCTTGTTTTGGTGTATATTAGGGCATTTAAATGGTAAATGGTAAATG